CGGATACAGACTAACACGGCTGCTACTCTGAAACCTGTTATACTACTGTTATTTTTTCCCTAGTGTCCAAGAGCATCTTAAGGGTTTTTGTGCCGGGGCTGCTAAATTTTCATTTACCAGTTTACCAAGCTGCCTTAGTAGGTTTAATGTGGGGCGCAGGATGAATCCGGCATCTCACCCTGACTTTGCAGTTAGCCCTGGGCTCTGTTACCCGCTAGGTCTTTTGAATGGCACTGGAAGTACGTTTTTGTCCTGCATCCCCAGCCGCAGCGATGCCGTCCAAACCAGACCCTCCTTCCTGTGCCCCAGGAACACCAGCTGGGCACTGTGCTTTCTGCTTCTCCTGTAATCTCTAGACTCTGCTCTGAACGGTCCCCTGATCTCAGTCTGATTCACTGATTTTTGCAGGCCGCATTTCTGTACCAGTTGGAGACGAGATATTTGCAGAATCAGGTAGGCTGCCCCTTTACCTTCACGTTCACATCTTTGTTGAGTAAAGGGGGCAAATCTCTCATTCTGTGCCACTGCGCAGGGTTTCTCTCTCAGGTCATTGGCCCCGAGAGCTCACATCTGTTTTGCACCGTGTCCAGTAGCACATATAAAACGCATGCCAGGTAGGGTCCTCGTGCTGCAGTTTGAGCCGACCACCAGGGCCTGGGTTCAGTGCAGCAGCTTCGTTTGCATTTGTGCTAATGATTGGCCAATCCTACTTCTGTTATGAGTTCGGGAAAAACAAAGGTTTTCCGACATGACGTTCCCATTGGCGCTCACTCCGAATGCATGTAGCTGCCCTTTTAGATTCCAGCTAATTAATTGTCTCACTTTGCACATGCTGATATTTCAGTGGATCAGCTGCGTGCCGCCTATTTTCCAAGGCAATAGCGAGCGTGAATTTTGCTCTCTGGCTTTATTTTCCACAGGTCAATCGTTGTAGCCAGTTCTGGTTAGGTGGGTTTTGTGGGCATTCCCGACTCTAGCTAATAACTGCAGCAGGACGGTAGGGTATTAGTTCTGCATCTGTATTCCTTCTTTGAGGAGCTCTCTGCAGTAAGAACTGCCACTCAGAAACAATATTTGCACAGCTCTGAGGATCTCAGACACGTTTTGCAAGGATGTGCAAAGTACCATTATGCCTAGGCTACATGTAGGGAAACTGAGGCACAGAACAGTTAAGAACTAGACATTTCAGGAGTGGCCTCTAAATCTGTGGTCAGGCTTTCAGAAGTGCTGAGCACCAATAGCTCCCACTGACTTCAAATGGATTATGGATGCTCAGTGCTTCTGAAAATCAGGCCTTGGGGCTCTGATTTTGGGCACCTACAGACTGACGGTACCCTAAATTAGAGGCCCCTTTTGAAAATCTGGGTCTACGTTACTTGCCCAGGATTATACGGCAAGTTAATGATGTAATTGGGAACAGAACTCAGATCTCCTGCTCTCACCACTCAACCTGCTGCTTCCTGAATGGTGTTTGTAAAGAGCAATAATTCTGATACAACTGGAGGCTCCTAGACAATCAGAATACAGAGCTACTTCCCCTCAATACAAGGCTGCTCTCTTGAATAAAATTCCACCATAGCATCACCAGTTCTACCCTCCCCGGTCACTCCCCCACTCCCATCTGCCTCCATTGCTACCCAAGAGTTTGGTATTGAACAGATCGGTGAAGCACGAACATACGTCTTTCTCCAGAAGCCATGTTTATATTTTAGACAAGGCAACAAAAATCCAGGAGCCCTGGAAAAAAATACATATCTGTATTTTGTTTAATTTCAGAGGATAATCTGGCCGGAGGTGCTAAGTGGCATCATTGGAAATATCATAAATGCCATTGCAAACTATGTCTTTATCTACGTGCTGGACCTCGGAGTCATGTGAGTAGTGCCTGAATATTTGGAAGACAGAAACTAGACGTCCAGCTATGGCTCGATCCTGAGTGGTACTGATTTTGGGGGGCCAACTTGAGACCTCCTTTCAAGGGGCTTGGATTTTCAGAGACCAGATGCTAAGCACTTCAGAAAAATCAGATCCCTTTACAGGCGTCTCAAGTTGGGCACCCAAAAGCATTAGCCACTTGTGAAAAATCGTGGCCCAAGTGAACAAATGTGACGGTCACGGATGGCTACTGAGACACAGCTTGGATCTCTAGAGGATACTAAAGCTCTCTTAACTTGCACGTGGTTTCCAGCTGAGGCCAGTGGGACTTTGCTTAAAGGATAAAACCAAGCAAGGGCCCAATATTTGGCCCAGGGGTATGATTAGCTCTCTTCATCCAGAAAACCAGGCCCTGAGGCAATCAATAGGGATCCCATTGGCCATTGCAGAAATGCAGTCCCCTCTCACTGGGTATGTTCACCAGATACAGAACAGACATTGCCCTGACGTCCTTCCTCTGTAAAACCCCCACTTGCTCTCTCAGCACTGGCTGTGACGGAGGCAGGACTTCAGGACCCAAAAGCATTAGTGTAGGAAGTGAAGCAGCTGTGAGTTCCTGTTTGTGCAATGCTTGGGAGATGGAAAGTGCTGGTTATTTGTAGGATGGAGTCATTTATCTGGGTAAAAGAACAGGGCAAATATACACACGCCAGCTGGAAACTGACTGGTAGCAAAGGGTTCCATGGAGCCTTCTGGGATATGGAGTCCCGGCCAATCAGATCGTATCTAGTGAGATGTTTGTGCCGTAGCAAACCAGCCCGTGAGGATAAGCAGGTGGGGTGCTAGTCTAGTCCATCCACCCCAGCATTCTGCCCCCTGGAGGGACCGATTCCTAATGCTTCAGAGGGAGGTGAACTCCCCACTCACTGAGTACCCGCTCAGCAATGCAACGCTGGGTGTGGAGCGGGCGAGATGCTCTTGTCGTCTGCGCAAGTGTCTTCAGTTCAATTCCTAAGCGAGGCTTTAGCTGCAGCTAGAGCAACTGCTGGCGAGACAGGGCTCTCTGCAAGAGCCGAAAGTCCAACTGGCTTTCTCTGTCCCTTTCCTAGGGGTTCTGCCTGCGCAAACACTATTGCTCAGTACACTCAAGCCATCTTCCTGTTCCTGTACATTGTCGCGAAGAAGCTCCATGTGGAGACCTGGGGAGGTGTAGTATCTTTCTGTTATGCTCTCGTGTGTCTGCAAAACTCTCTGCTTCCCATGGGAGACCCTCTCCGCTCCCCCTTCCATTGATTTTCATTCCATGGGTGAGAAGAGTTAATATTAACCTTGGTATAAGCCTGTCTGCCAGATGCCGTGTTGTGTAAGTTACAGCTCAGATCGACAGAGCGTATCACGAATGCTGGGTGAGCCTGGGAAGAAAGTCGTGTAGGTGAGCAGCGTTCCTGGCTGAACTGAACCTCGCTTCTAAAGCTGCCAGAGGTCCCCGTGCTGCCATCAGAACAGCACCCGTCCCATCCTGCTGGCTGTTCTGCGCAGGTGCAGGAGTCACCTGTAGAACTGGGGCCTGGGTTTGATAGTGCTTAGGGCTCTCTGGGCCCACTGGGATGTGTTAATGGACAAAGCACACTCGCCATTGCTGGAGTTCCTGCTGAGGTTACAGCGCGGCTTGGGAGGGCCCATTGAGTACAGAAAGGGTGGCAGTTTCCCCCTGGGATTTACAGAAATGTCCAACCTGGTCCCTAGCACTCTCTCTAACATGGCCGAGGCCCCGAAGAGATTAGGGCCAACTCTAAACCCTCTTGGAGTTTGGGTGCATCTGAATCGGGGCTTTTTCTCTTTGCACGTCGCTTGCTCTGGAAAGTGAAAATAGACCCAGTCAGTTTCACTTCCTGGTTCTCCATGTGCTGACCCCCCCCCAGGCTGACTCTTTACACCCTTCATCTTCTTGTCCCAGGCTGGTCCAGCGAGTGCCTCCAGGAGTGGGACACCTTCATCACTCTGGCTGTGCCCAGCATGCTCATGATATGCATCGAGTGGTGGACCTACGAAATCGGAAGCTTCCTGATAGGTTAGTGATGGGAGGAGCATGTTGATGGGGCACTAGAAATATCATCCCCAAGGAGGATCACCACAGTGGTTCTCAACCAGGGGTACATGTACCCTTGGGGGTACTCAGACGTCTTCCTGGGGGTACATCAACCCAGCTAGATACTTGCCTAGTTTTACAACGGGATACATAAAAAGCACTAGCGAAGTCAGTACAAACCAAAAGTTCGTACAATGACTTGTTTACACTGCTCTATAGACTATACACTGAAATGTAAGTACAATCTTTCTCTTCCAATCGATTTAGTTTCTAATGATATGGTAAAGAGGAGAACAGCAGCAGTTTTTCAGTACTAGCGTGCGGTGGCACTTGTGTATCTTTGTGTGTGATGTTGTAGGCGAGTAGTTTTTGAGTGCGGGAGTTTTTAAACTTGGGGTACGCAAGACAAACCAGCCTCCTGAAAGGAGTCCGGACAGGTTGAGAGTCACCGATCTGCTGACGTTTCACCTGCTCTTTAAAAGGCTCCTTTTCTGGGGAGCAAACTACAAAATTCTGACGTTTCCCCCCGAATTCAGGCCTGCTGAGCGTAGTGGAGCTTTCCGCACACTCCATCATTTATGAGGTGTCCACGGTGTCGTACATGGTAAGACTTCGGGGTTATTATTTACGTTCCTGCACCACCTAAAGGCCCCCCCTGAGAGAGCCCCCCCATTGTGCTGGGCACTGACAAGCCATGCGAGACAGCCCCTGCTCTGACGCACTTACGGTCGAAATAGGCAGAGGAAGTATCCACAGTGGGCAGGGCGGGAGGCGAGGCCCAGAGAGACTTGCTCGGGGTCGCCCAGGGCATCTGGTGGCAGAGCAGGGAGTCAACCCCAGATCCGAACCCCAGGCTCAGTCGAGAGGGGCTAATATCTGCATTCATTTGTAGCTGCTCCGGCCATTCCCAGGAAGAGTCTCTGTGAGGGCGAGGCGGGACTCACAAGCCTAGCAGCAGCCCCCAGGCGCCTTCTACTCCGTTCCTTAAACCTGTTCATCCAGCAAACGGAGCCAGCCCCTAACTAGCCTTGATGGCGCTAGAGGCCATCAGCCTAAGGCCGAACGACACCAACGCCTGTCACCAGACAGCCACTCAGACTGAAGTATTAGCCTTAACCACAGTCAGCCCCAAACATGTCCCACATCTGTCTCCTGGGCTCAGCTTCCACATGTGCCCAGACCTGTGCCTGTCTCCTGCTCCTGGCCTGTCAATCCATAATACCCAGCAGTTTGGGGTTTAGAGAGACGTTATCAGCACTCCCCAGCCGTCAGGCAGGCCAGTGTTCTCCCTTATTTACAGATGGGGAAACTGAGGCTGGGAGGTGAAGTGACTTGCCCAAGGTCACAGATGGGAATCGGGGTCAGAGGCAGGATGAGAGCCCCTGCCTGGGCGCCGATTACACCTGGCTGTAGCCCCTCCCTCTGCCCGACCTAAAGTTTTGCCTCCTGCTCTGCAGAGCTCTCTCCACATTCACTTTCATTAGCTCACGGCCGCCTCCGAGCGATTGTCTCGGCTGGAGGGGTTGTAACACTCGTCCCCCTGGGTCGCTGTCGCCCACGACGTCCCCTCCCCAGACCAACATGTGTCGGTGCTTTGGGATTTCAGATTCCCTACGGACTCAGCATAGCCGCCAGCATTCAGGTGGGGAACGCGCTGGGCGCTGGGAACATAGAGGAGGCCAAGAGATCGTCCACCACCAGCATGCTGTGCACAGGTACATGACTCTGCACTGGCTCCACCCCTCCTCGGTGGCCAGGGAGTGGGGGCTCAGTCCATGTGCTACGGTGCCAGTCAAAGCGAGACGCTCATGGCTCTGCCTAGTGCCGGGCATAGCAAGGGCAGCTGTTTTTGCAAGCTTCCTACACCGATCTGTGCCAGTTGCACCTCAGTTGTCCCCTGCAGCGTCCTATTGTTTGCAGTCGTGGGATTCAGCCGGACCGCCTGCAGTTATTTAGTGATTTGCACACCTAGGGACCAGGGTGACAGCCCCGGTTTTGTTTACGCTTGTGGCCTGAGCCAGGTTGCTCAGGCTCTGACAGGAACTGGATTTCACGTAGTCGTCAGCTTGTGTTTGCTCTGTTCGACTGACTCCTGACTCTGCTTTTCAGGGTTTCTTTGCCTGGTGATGGGCGTCATATTAGCAGCCACAAAGGATGTGCTGGGATACATATTTACCAGTGACAGGTGAGTTGCTCCGATTCGGTACTACAGTCCTTTCAGAACAAAGATGACAAGTCACTATTAAAGACTGAGCCAAGGGAAGACTTGTTTGGAGGCTTAGAAGAGCCTGCTCCCAAATTGAAGTCAGGGGAAAGGTTCCCAGTGACTGCAGGGGACCTTAACGTATGGGGTGGACACACTTGCCTTCTCCTACGCTCAGTCTCCCTTAGTCATCCGAGTACAAAGCCGGGAGCTCACTGGAAAAACGATGCTGCCTCTGAGCCAGGCTTCACTCGAAAGAGAGCGCACCTTGGTGCATGTTCCTCTTTATTTGGATCAGAGTGAATTTTGTTTCGGGAGACGTCAGCTGATCAAGTCACAGGGGAAAGTCTGCTGCGAAAAGCTTAGTTAGCAGGGCGGTGCAGATGCCAGCCGGCCCAACTGATTTTCCTGATCGCACACGAAGACGCCCGAAACCCTCAATCGCTGGTTAAAGACCAGCCAGCCGAGGGCGAAGAGTGATTTATGAGCGGCTGACTTTTCCCAAGGCAGCAGCAGAAACGAGGCTCAGAACTTCCTGTAACTCACAGTTTAGTCCCAGCCTGCGGTACGGCCCTGTAGTACCGTTGGGCTCGGTTGCACTATAAAGCGTGTGCTGTAAGCAAGTCTCTCTCCGGGCACATTGGTGCAAGTTTGTGAGGGTCAGCAGGTTGTACGGAATGCAGCAATGTGTTAGGGGCACGAATTAGTTGAGCTGTGACAGATGCATTTTATTTCTAAGCCTGATTGCCTCCTTCATTCCTCAAACAGAGAGATCATTGCCCTGGCGGCTTGGGTTATGCCAGTGTACGTGATCGTCCACGTGTTTGAAGCCGGCTGTGTAAGTACTTCAGGGAATTAGCTGTGCTGCTGTATTTGCTATCAGACGGTATTTCTGACGCTGGTGGGATTCAGTTCCAGGTTGATCAAGGAGAGAATTCAGAGCTCATGGCTACGAGCCTGAGTAATGTCTGCCTCCAAGTTCACAGGCCCTAGGGATGGACTCAGAGGAACGAATACATCCGATGTAATGGGGAAACTGGCCAAAAGGAAAATCATGTAATAGCAGGGCTAATAGTCAGTGCATGGTGCATTCAGATGGAAGGGAGGAGGTAGGTATGGGGAAAGAAGGGAAGGAACGCAGGAAACATTCCCTACCTTTGGGCCTACAGGAATTACTGTGTGGATCTATGAGCAGGAGACAGAGCAGTGAGTACAGAAGAGAGACAAACCGTGGTCATTTGGAAGCAGCCCATGGCTGCCAGGGGCTGGATTGAAGAAAGCAGGTTCTCCTGGGGCGAGGCTCTTATACAAGCTTCCAGGGGTTACCAGCTGCCTGGCTGCAACCAGCCATGAAGTGAGGGCTCAGCTGTGGTATAAGGGTGTCTCTCCCCCCCCCGGGGTTCGATAGGGGTCAATAAGGACAAGTAAAGCAACCAATATGTGTGGGCAGCTGCTGCAGCCAGCACCGAGCCTAGGGGTCTTAGTGCAACCAGCACACATCCTTCAGAGTCGTCTTGTCCTCTCCCCTTGCAGTGCGTAACCAGCGGAGTGCTAAGAGGCATGGGGAAGCAGAAGATCGGCGCGATCTTGAATGCTGTTGGCTACTACGCCGTGGGCCTGCCATTGGGAAGCGTGCTGTTGTTCGTGGCCAGGATTGGAATGATAGGTACAAACAGCGGAAGTGGGGGAAAGGGAATTGGCCCTTTAGCCCTGGAAATACAGAGGCCAAAATCCCAGGGCAAAATGGGCCCAGCTCCAGATGCTCTAGGTTAGACGCCACTGGTCGTGTCCCAGGAACAGGGCTAAGTTGTTACCCTGCCTTTGGCCATGTCTCTTGGCTGCTTTTTTTTTTTTTAACCCAAGCCATAAAAACTTTAGTGCCTTTAAAATGCGCCTAAAGGTTACCCCGTCCTTGTGCTGGTTGGGGGGGGGGGGAGGGGCTCAGAGGCTGGGGGTGGGTTTCGAGGGAGTGGGTTTGGGACATTCGCCTGTTTGGTGCCTACTAAACTCAGCTGAAATGTGCTTTAGAAGCAAAGATTCCAAAGCCAGCAGGGACCCCAGTGAGCTGTCTTCTGTCCCTTCACCCTTCCTTGAAACAGCCCAAATTCCATCCAGCCCCCAGCCCCCCCTAAAAACCCAACCCCCTCACAGCCCACATCTCGCACCCCCCGCCTCCCAGAACAGTTCCAGCGCTGGCTGACAGCCCCAGAAAAATTCCATCTCTCCACCCCCCCAGGGTGC